TCATTAGCATTAAGGAATCAAACAATTCAGCATAAATACTCTTTTGTCATTGTTTGGGAAGCCGAAGAAATAAAGTGGTAGAGGCTGGTAAAGGACTACTTAAAGCTGAAACCCGAAACAACAGAAAAACAGAGGAACAACCAGGAATAGAACGACAATGATCAGCCAAAGGCAATTGGTTTGAATAAGAGAGGGAGAAACTAATAACAGGTGAGCATAATCAACTGAAAAAACACCAGGTGCAAATTGTGGCATCACTCCCCCTTAAGGGCAGATTCCAGATGTCCAAACTAAAAACAACCCGAATCGGGTGGGGAAAGTGGGGCTTAGAAGAAGGGCAAGAAAACAAAGCCCAACAAAACCAGACCCCAGTTGAGACACAGAGGATGACCCTTAATGGCTCCGTATTTCAGGTCGGCGACAACCTTACAGTAGAGGGTGGGCACACAGTTTATTAGCTTATACGTAGAAAATCATCATATTAAATATTTTTTTCACAGACAGCTAACCTGACACACATAGTGACAAGGCAGTATAAGGGGATTAAAGAAACTGTCAGATACGTTGTATGGGAAAATCTCAGTGCTCAGCCTGGATAAACCTTAAAATAGGTGCTCCTCTTAATGTGAAAAAGAGGGCCTTTAGATTATGGAGCAATGTGGAGCTGTGAGATGTGCAGATGGAACTGTAAAGAATGAACAGGAGAGAAGATCAGTAGTGGTAATAAACCAAGTAGGTGGGAGACAGAAAACTCTAGTAAAAGTAATGCCTCCCACCCCATGGACACAGCTGCTGCAGAACCGGAGAGCTCATTCAATGAAAGACTTCTTAAGCTCAGGTGAACAAAGGAGCATTATGGCAGCTCTTTCCTCCAAGCAGCGGTTAGACTTTATCTTCATCACTGATCCAAGCAAACCTAATGAGTGTCTAAATTCCTCTTTTGTAACTTTTTTCATTTCTTGTAAATAGTTTATGCATACATAAAAAGCTATGTTTTGTATTTGCTTAATTACTCTAATCCAGGCATCCCCAAAGTCGGTCCTCGAGGGCCGCTGTCCTGCAGGTTTTAGAGGTTTCCCTGCTCCAGCACAGCTGATTTACATTGATAGTTGATTAACAGGCTTTTGCTGAACTGCAATCATCAGAATCAGCTGTGCTAAAGCAGAGAAACCTCTAAAACCTGCAGGACAGCGGCCCTCGAGGACCGACTTTGGGGATGCCTGCTCTAATCAGTTACACATTTCTTTGAATCTAAGTGTACTATTTAAAGAGTTGCCAAGTATTATTTTTTTTATATGCTGTAAATTTACAATTTCTCTACAGTCTTTGTTTTAACAACCTTGCCATGGTGGGTGTCAGAAATTTCCCCATTGATATATTTCCCCATTGAATATTAAAGGATATTTCGATTCTATTCTATTCTATTCTATTCTATTCTATTCTATTCTATTCTATTCTATCCTGTTATGTTTTGTGTACTTAATCCACATTTTCAGATTTAATTAGTGAACTGAAGTACTGATGTACATGACCTTTTCAGTGATACTCTAATGTATTTGGAATGGATACATATGATCTTATTTTTTTATTGTTTTTGACTCATTTCACTACTTTCACTCCCTCCTTACCTCACCACCCACTTTTATCTTATTTTCTCTCTCTCCATTGCGGTGAGCAGGTGCACAGTGACAGAGTCGCTGAGCCATGAAATCTCTCCTCCTGGAGACACATTTCTTGCCTCCCCGGCTCGGACATGCAAACAGACTTAACTATGCAAAAACCACTGTTTTTTGTCCCATTTCCTTCTCTCTTATACCTTACCCTTTAGTCTTGGCATGATCTAATTTGAGGAAGCAATGTGCAGTTTTGATTGTTTGACTGAGAGGATTAAAGAAATCTAACTTCAACTGGATTTAAAATGTTTGCAGAGTTTCATTAACAGGAGAATAAACCTTTTTTTTTGCATGCTCATGCATGTACATAGGTGTGCACGCATGTGTGGTCTTTGCTGCATATGTCTCTGACCACATCTACAACTTTAATGTCTCTGACTGAATAATGTATGAATCCTGCGGCCTGGAAGAGGCACAGACACAGTTTGCACCAGCGAAATCAGAGAAAGTACATCCAAATACGGAGCCACAAAGAAGTTCAAACTAAATGTTTTGTTTAAGATAAAATCACCTTAGATCAAAGAGAGCAAAGCTGAGTTCAGAATAGACCAAAACTTCCGGTTCTTTTAACCACACTGGCTTTTCTACTTCCAGTTTCCTGTTCACGTGCTGCAAATTTCCTTTTGACATGAATTCAGGCTTCACACTAAATGTGTTTATTTCCTGTCTGAACCTGTGCCTCTGCATGCTTAACAGCTGACCATTCAGCATAAATTCTCCTCGTATTGTGCACTGGTGTTGTATCTGTTCTTCAGCTGGACATGCTTTAAATTTCTAATTTCACTTTCAAATGTCTGCACTCTGTCACCATTTCTGCATACCCCTACACACTTGGCTTTTCCCCTGCCTCTTATGAAGATGAAAATGTAAAGCTGAGGTCAAGGTTGGTTACCGCAGCAACCGTGCATAATGATACCATGACCCACATGACCAGCATGCCTCTGTCCTCTGCAGCTTTTGGGAGGTGAGTATTGAAATTAGTAACCTTCCTCAAAAGCAAGTGTTTTCATTTTTCTCTTATTACAAAACAAGAAACAAAATTGCAAATCAACTTAAGTTCAACAGTTTTAAAGGTTCTGGAAACAAAATAATATATTTTATCTAAAAAATTCATCTTTTTTATTGTTCTTTTAGTTCTTGCAATTGGATTAATCAAAATAATCCATCTAAAATTCTAATGAAAATTTAGTCAAAATAAAAAAAAGGTAGGGGGACTAAGATGACTTGTCTGTTTAAATGTGCCTCTACCGTTCAAGACACTTTAAAGACACTTTAATTCAATTCAGTTCAGTTTATTTATATAGCGCCAAATTCACAACACATGTCATCTCAAGGCACTTTACAGTTCAACCACTTTATGATTTTTAGCATTCATTATTAAGGTAAGAGTATATCCGCGTGACCCTCCTTGATCTTTGTAAAAGTTTTTCAAATCGTTCAGACTGTCTGTGCATCTTCTGTGCACGGCAGAAGTTTATTTATATATTGTTTGCTTTTAAATACAAGTCAGATCTCTTGCTAAGCCATTCAAAGTGAATCTTATTTAGCTTAACTTGGATGTTTTAATGCTTCTAAAAGATGACATTCCTTTTTTCATCTTTTGCTAGGTGCAAATATTTACTGATATAGATATATTACTGTTCTTTATTTCTCCACTCTGACCAGTGCACCAGTTCCTACTAAATAAAATCATCCTTGTTTAGCTTTCCTTCTTTGGTTACTCGAACTGCCACTGTAACATGGTGGAGGGGTTTCAGTGCTTAGATGATCCCAGAAGCTATGTTTTCAGGGGCTCAAAGGCCCCTGGTAGGGCCTCCCAATGTAAACAGGCTCTAGTTGACAGGTCAGACAAAGAGCAGTTCAAAAAGCCCCCTTGATGACCAAAACAATCAAGGTAGGTCGGCTACACGAGGTCAACTGAGCCTGAAACCCTACCCTGCCAGGCCTGGGTTTGGGGTTCGACGACGATCACCTGGTGGACTGGGTTCTTCCTCGTCGGAAGGCTATACCCCAGTGGGCTCACCGCCTGTAGTTTACACTGTATAAAATTATATATTTCTTCAAAACAAATGTGAAGCAACCCCCAAACGTCACAAAGAAGTTATCTGTTGGTTACCAACACACAGAGCTCTGATGGAGAGGGAACCAACACACACACAGATCCCACCCCACACACACTGATAAAAGGCTCAGAAAGAGGGACTGTTAGGAGGTTCCGTTTGTATCAAAAATAAGCAGACATATGCAGAATCTACATATGCAACAACTACATTTGCAACTTATATGCAGACAACTCATATGCAACAACAGCACACCATCTAGACATTTTACATCTGCTTATTTTTGATACAAATGGAACATCATAGACTGTCTAATTGTACTCTTATCAGACCCAAACATTCTTTGAGTAGTAAAAGTGTTTGGGGTGAGAGATTGGTTAAGCATAAATATGAACAGTGCAGGAATGTACAGTTATATTAAGTAAAAATAAAAGATGGGGTTTCAAATGAGTTGTCAAATTTGCCCTCCTATTTGACAATAACCTTTAAACATTCTTTTTATTTTTCTTTATTAAAAATATTTATTTTTGGGGTGATGTCATATTTTAATCTTAAATGTGGGTTTTATTTAACCGGTTGCAGAAAATTGTCATACAGGAAAGGTTTAAACACACCAGACCAAAGGTCATAGATATGTGTTTCACTTAATGAATTGAGTTACTGAAAAGAAAGCAACCTTTTCAATAATTTTCTGCTAAATAAAGGCTTACTGATGTTCTGTCTACCTTTCAAACTATAGAGGATAAAAAGAGGCTGGGTGACTGAGCTGTTTTGAACTTTGCATGTCCCAGGATCCTTTAACTCTAACAAAGGGCGGTTCCGCCCACAAACACTAATCAATCAGGATGGGCTATTATCGTGGAAAGCAGCTATCTGGCATCACAGGCTGCTGCTGCTGCTGCTCTCTGCCGGGAATGAGTCTCTGTGAGTCACTGCTGGCGCAAACAAAGCGCACTCAGTGACTTTCGGGGTTTGGCGCAAAAATCTAGTATTTCTTTTCTTCTTCAAACGTTTTCCCACCATCTGTCTTGTGTTCATATTTGTTTGAGTTTGAGAATGAATTTTTAACAGGACCTCTACTGTTGCGTTTATTTTAATAAAGAATCATGGTGAATCACTGAATCGGCGGCATAATAACAGTAAACCTTTGCTCTGAGTGGAGGATGAGTGCGTCGGGCACGCACACGATTGCATGCGTATGGAGAGCCATGCGCGCTCCCGCCCTTTGCTGCGCACAGACAGACGGTGCGAAGCAGAGAGAGAGAGAGAGAGAGAGAGAGAGAGAGAGAGAGAGAGAGAGAGAGAGCTGCTATTACTAGTGACAGAAAACGGCACCGAGCTCATACGGTCTGGAGAGCCGCTGCTGTGACAAGGTGGGTTAAAAAATAAAAGATAAAAAGTGTTTTTTTGTTTTTTATGTAAGCTGAGATTCAGTGGGCCTTTTTCGCAAATCTGTAGCGCTTGTGTTGCCATGTCCTCCAGCCTGATCCAGCGTCCTCCTCTCCTCTGCGTGCTTGTTGTTGTGCCCACAGATGCTGAGCGTCGCCGTGCTCTGTGTGTGCGCCGTCGCCTTTGGACGCGTCTCCGCTCGCTCGGACAGCGGCAATTTTCTGGACGATAAGTGGGTGACCGGCAGATGGGATAAATTCAGAGATGTGAGTAACATTTTAGGACCACTGTAGCTGATAATCCCCCCCACACCAAAAAACCCTCCAGCTTCCTTTCACGTTATCTCATTTTCACGCCCCCACCCCCCTTCCATCCTCCTCCCAAGCCTCCCCTCCTCACAGCCTCACTCATTGGTTTGAGATCATGCGCTCCTCGTTTTCCTCTCGTTCCTCAGCGACGCGTCATGGGTTCCTCTAGGTTATTTGTCACAGGTTTATCAGTTTCTCCTCTATCCCAATCACTCAGAGGTTCCTCGCTTAGATATGTTATTGTGGTGTTTATGTGTGCATAGAGAGCCAAGGCCTCAGTGCCATGGAGCTGTGCCTGAAGTGTCCTAATTAAGGACAGGTACATCCAGGGCCGGACCGTGGTTAAATGGGACCCTGAGCAGAATTTCATCTAGGGGGCAATTTTTATTTTTTTATGTATTTAAGTGTTATGTTTGCTATGAGGCTCAATTGAAGGTTGTAAGTTCTTGCTTAGGGCTGCTCAGTGACTCAGTGGGTAGCACTGCTGCCTTCTGCATGGAGTTTGCATGTTCTCCCTGAGCATGTGTGGGTTCTCTCTGGGTACTCTGGCTTCCTCCCACAGTCCAAAAACATGACTGTTAGGTTAATTGGCTTCTATAAATTCTCCTTAGGTGTGAGTGTGTGCGTGAATGGTTGTTGGTCCTGTTTGTCTCTGTGGTGCCCTGCGATGAACTGGCGACCTGTCCAGGGTGTACCCTCCCTCTCGCACATAGACAGCTGGAGATAGGCACCAGCATCCCTCGTGACCCCACTTAACTTATTATTAGGTTATGAATTTAAAACTGTTAAACTCAATAGTTATAGCATCCCTATGCTTAAAAGTATACTCAAGGAATTACCAAAGAAACCTTTGGGGTCTCTAGTTTTTCTGCTGTTGGAGCATAGAGTAACCAGCTACTGCTTGCAGCAAGTTCACTGATGAAACTATGACTCTTGTACTCCTACTTGGCTTACAAGAAAAATAAAAATTGCCATTTCAAAATTATAATAAAACAGAATTGAAAAATACTGAATACTGCCCATGTGAATTAAGATGACCCTGTTTAGGATTTTATGTTTAGTTTCCAGACAGTTGTTTTGGAAACAGACTATAAATTTGCTCCTTAGAGGTTTAAAATTTTTTTTATTTTAAAGAAGTCACAGTTTGTAAGAATAAGTTGGCTTAAATATGGCTTAGAGTCAAAAATACTTAGAAAAATGTATAATTTAAGTTTGTATTTAGGTTTCTGGAACTAATATACAATTAATTGATCATTTATGTTGACTGAAGATTTGTTTTTGTTTGTTTAAGACCATATAAATAGAGGCTGATAACTACCATCTGCAGCCCACAACAATGCAGGGTGTGATTGTAATTTGTTTCATTTTACAAACTTGGTTTTAGGTGTTGCCACAGGTTCCACTCAAACTTTATGTAAAAAATATTGGAAAATATTGCAAGACATCTTTTCTAAATCATGATTCAAAAATAAAACAATTGGCTATATTTTATTCATTGAATCTACAACTACAGTTAGGTGCTATATTTTAAAATTATTTTTCTTAAGAGCATCCCTTTACTAAACTCATTTATTGATCAATATTGTTCAGGGTTTTTTTTTTCTTTCCAGGAAAAAAAAAGCTCTGCCTGGTTTCTTAAACAATGGATTCAGAAATAAATCTCTCAGTGCTGTAAATGCACAGTTTACAGCCAAGGTTTTTTTTTTTTTTTAACATATTACCTATTTGCCAGAAATTTCTGCAAACAAACTACAGGCTTTCTACTTTGGTTTGAATGTTCTCCCCGTTCAGATTGGTACCCAGGTTTCCGCTAACCAATTAGAAACATCCCTGTTATTCGAATTTGGCTCTCTATGTTGCTGTCTGCATTAAGTGTGTGCATGTGCCACTCTCTGTCCTGAACAAGTTCACTCTGTAATCAATCAAAAATTCTTGATTACCCAGATAAATACACTATTACACAATAGTTGAGGCAGATTGGTGAAAGAAAATGTGTAGAACTGCAAGAAAAAAAAGGGAAAATTGGGGGTGGGATATTGTAATTGGCAAAGATGAACCAAAGCTGCCTGGTAAGTAGCAAGTAGCTCAGATGGGCAGTTTATTAGCTTGTTATAACCTACTTGCAGAAAAGGGTAAGATTTTTTCATAATAACCTCTTGTAGAACAAAGGTTTTTATAAATATTTCAGATATTTCAGATTAAAGTAACAAGATTTAGTTTTGAATGTGTTTGAAACCCTGAAACTGCGACATACTCTAACAATGCTTATGGTTTGTACTCTTCTCAAATGTTTTCAATTTTACCGTAACTTCATATTATGCCAAATATAAGGAAGTTTTATTGTTTGAAATCTATTTTCTTGACTGAGATAATTTTGAAGTTGGCTTATAAAAACTAGCAACATTAACAACCACAAGCCAAGTTGTGGAATATCTTCCATGTGAGAATTTACTAGCTCTTTTGGAACTCGAGCTGCCCATGTGACACTAATCAGGTTATTGTAATGTGTTTTGTCTGTGCTTGTAAGATTTTGTGGGTTCTGGATTGAAATACATCAATAACATCCCAATTTATCCTTGTAGAGTATAAGGTCATCTAACAGCCTCGAGATACGGCTACTTTGCTAATCGATATTGCTTAATATTAAAGGCATATGTTTTTGTTTTTTTTTTTCATTTTAGAAAACACCTCTTTCATGACAATCTCAGCCAAAATGTAGCGTTTAACAATAACGCATTTTTGAGAGACCAGTTAACTGAAAAGTTAGAATGCCCAAAAAACCCACCCAAAGCAAGGACCTTCTTGGGTTGGACTTTGCCATTGTGTAACCTGAACAAAAATATTGGTAAATATACATTTACAAGCCATGTTTCTCGACTACTAGATAATAAGTTTTACAGTCCAATTTTTGTTTCTCACTACTATAGATACAAGAATGGCTCTTAGAACTTAATGTCCTGATCATCAGCCAGAGATAGAATATAGGCCATGATACTGTTAGTCTACAGCACTTTCCAATAGTGACTACATTCGTCCCTTTTCTTACATTGTTTTTGGTATATTTTCATGAGACAAAACAAACTTCTACGTTTTTCAGTGTATTTTACTCAATATACAGCTTGTACCACAGTGTTAATTTGCTGTTCCACCCCAAATAACTCAAAACACTCATATAAGTATAAAAACCAGTATAAAGGTGTGCCAGGCCACAAAGGGAAACATATCAGTGTGCCTCACCGGCCATGTTCCATCCCTGGTGTCATGTAGATTGTTAGAGGGAAGCAAGTGAAGAACTCTCTGAGGATCTGAAAAAAGGAACAGTTGCCTGACGTAAAGATGGCTGAGGCTATGAGATCATTGCATGAAAGACAGCATGAAACTGAGGTGCTTCAAAGTTGCAAAGACCATGTAGCAGTTCAACGACACAGGTTGAACTCAAAAAGGCCTACCATGATTTGACCAGCATTACTATATAGGTTAAAGGGGATAAGGAGTTAGCATGTCAGTTCTAAGAACACATGCTGTACACTGTGTCAAATTGGTCCATATGGCTGTCATCGTAGAGGAAGTCACTTCTAAAGATGATGTTCAGCTAAGCATGCAAATAGCTTAAGGAAGATCAGTAGCATCAGTAGTTTGATTACTATAACCATGTCCTATTTCTAATGAGACCACAAATGTCTTTGCCATAGCCAAGCATGATGGTGGGAGTGTGATGGTTTGGGACTGTATAAGTGCTGCTGGCTGTGGAGAAATACAATTCAAGATTGATGGAACGCTGGATGCCAACATGCACTCCATCTAATGGAAAATGGAAGCAATCTAACATGATAATTATCCCCAAATCACCTTCGAGTTTACCACTTCCACGGTAAGGAAACTGAGGGTAATGGTGTAGTAGGACTGTCCAAGTAAGCCTCCAGACCTAAAAAAGCAGAAGGTATTTATTAGGTGTGCACTGATTCGCAAAAAATAATAATTAGATCAATCTAATGGCAAAATAATCATTAGCCCTATCTCAAATATAATTTAAAGTTTAAGGCTTTGACAGTGGATGGTTTTCAGACCTTTAGAGAGGTAGATCAGACTGGTGGGAAAGATCGGTTCACATCTAAGTATTGGCAGATCTCCCAAAATTAAGAAACTCCAGGCCAATTTTTCGGCTGACGAAACCCTATATTTAACATCTAGCAATGTACAATAATCTCATGGATGAGTGGAGGAGGATTACAGTGGTAGTCTCTGAAGGTCTAGGGAATTTTATTCCAAAAAGGGTTAAATAAGTACTTAGAAACAATATTGACCTCACAAAATATTCACACTTTGGTTAAAATTTTGACATTTTAACTTTGGGGTGTAATTCCTTTTTTACATTGGTTTTCACACTCACTTTTTTGGTACATTGTTTGATTTTAATATTTCCTATATATATTTAAGTTTGTTTGAAATGTATAACAATATATTAAAACTGTATACCACAAAATACAGAAAAGTAGAACATGTCCTTTTGGAGATGGCATCCTTATGGGATTATTAAAGCAATATTACACGCTGTCTCTGATTAGGCCTACCTGTAGCCTACATATATATTTCCCCAGTGATTTGCTCCTCCTCTCAGCCTTACAGTGATTTAGAGTGAAGTCATTTGGCTGATTATGCTGCTGCTGAAAGCCCTCAGCAGCAGACTATATGTCAGCCTCCATTAACCTGGTATGTTAAGGCCAGCTAAAGCTGCGATGCTACCGCAGACTGGTAGGTAACACCTTATGTGGTCCAGTTGCCCAGTGTTCTGTGTTAAATGACAGAACCCAGCTTTTCATTGGCATTGCTGTTAACCTTGTACTGGGGTTGGGAATACTGCCTTATAGATATTTTTAGCAAGTAACTGCTGCTGTTAAAAAAATGGTATAATTGTTTCATGCTTTGCATAGTTTGTCTTCTGCTTAAAGATATGCCTC